TGAATTTCAGCCGGCGTGCACTGAATGTCTTTCATTTTATTTTCTATAATTAACTTCAAAACTTTTACTGTTGTTCTGTTTAATGTCATATGGGGTCTATTCTGAAACTATAGTTGTTATCTGGCAACTTTCTGACAATTATCTTACCACTTTCATAGCGACCGTATGACAACTTTGACATCCACCGATGCTATAAAAATAATACAACTTGTATGTGTGTTGTAGATCAGGCTTTTAACAACTTAACCTTCGAGTCGGAAGTTCCGGGACGTCAAGTGAAGTGTAATTTTATCATTTGGAAATGGTTACATTTTGTGGATGGACTGGCTTGATATAAAAAATGATTGTATTTCTAAAATTTCACCAAGACAGCAAAATTATTATGCAATTTTATCTCGTGCAGATCTGCAGGCCTCATGACGATCTGAGAGGTAGTCTCTAGACATCTCATTGAGACAGCAAACTTTAGGCAAGCTGAAAGGCAACTCCAGCTTCTATTTGCCTTCGGAGGGTGCACAATGTGGCTATTGAGACCTAAGTAATGAGGGGAACCCATCTTAATGATACAGATTACATGCAAAAAATGGTAGCCTTTATTTTATTCCTAAAACAAATCATTGTAAAAATAATAATGTACCTATTTTCTGATAAGTTCCTATTATCGTATCAATAAACATACTTCCTATTCATTTGTTAGTATATTTAAATATTTATTATCCAGTGGTCCATATTTCTTTCTCAGCAACTAGTTGTTACGCTTAACCACCAAGAATAATTGGGAGCTTTCAAAACACTCTGAATCCACTTTTATAACCACTAGTTACAGATTTTACTTATGCTGCGTTTGTTTATCCACATCGGATGCATCTGAGATGTTGTGAATCTTTGATCACATGATTCAAGATACGTAAATGTAGGAGGAGATGTGTCCGATGTGGATAAACAAACGCTCGAGAGATAAAAAATGCATCGGATGTGAATATTCAAACGTAGCGTTAGAGAATTCTGATTTTATCAGAGTGGATATATAACAACTGACCTTGGTCTAAACAACTTGTACAGAATAGACATGATAGTCATGGCTACGTTAATAAATGTTACCAGCACATAAAATTTTTGATTTTTACAGTAAGATAAAGTATTAAAATCGCTGACATAATTAAAATAATTCTAAAATAATCACGATTACATTTTTTAGTTTTTTAGTAATGTAACTAACTACATTCATGAATATTCGTGAAATGTTTCAGAATTAGATCGTTAGGAAAATTTTTAATTAGTTGGTGGTACGCTATAAAAAAGAGGTCATTGATGACGTGCAACGGTTTTTGTATTAAAAAGCGTATAGATAATTCTTGTTAACTTTTTAGTCGTTCTTGATTCAAATCTCAGTCTAGTTAACCAGTCTAAAAGTTGTATATTAAAAATAAATGTTCAATTTAAAATAAATTAATTGCCATAAAGGAAAACGAAAAAGAAAACTAATTAAATCTGCATTACTTTATAGTATTTGTGTGATTACAGCACCCCTTATAATTTTCAGACAAGGATATCTCAAAAAGTATTTTTTTTTAATTTAACATTTTGGCAAAATAAATTTGGCAATAATATTTAGAATATGCAAATATAAGTTTTAACTTTTTCCAATTTCCGAGAAAAAAATCAAAGGGCTTTAAATTTTGAAATATAATGAAAATAAATGCATTCCTCAACAGCACTTTTCTTAATATAATCCCCAAATTTAATCTCTTATGAAATCCGACAACCGGGGGTTGATAATTAATTTAAATAATTCTTATGTATTACATATTATATCCAAATTTTTATTTCGAATTCAAACAACATCCCAGCATTCCGCCTAGTAGGCGCCGTTTAATTACTTCTGGGAAAAGAAATATCTACGCGTAAACTCTAACGGTCGCTAGAACAAAACAGATGTAATCAATAGGGCTATATTCAGGAATTAATACAGGGCTTTATAGTCTTTATGCCCGAACGCATAGTCGTGCTCTTTCCGATACATTGGCGTATATGGGAAATTTAAGTATAAATACCCGGGTTTTTGAGGGCTGGGGGATTAGTTTTTTCTTCTTCACCGAGTCGAGTTAACAACATACGCAAATATCCAGGTTACCGCACGGTGACTCCTTTTTCTTTATATTCTTCAAATATAATTAAAAAGAGATATCGCTACCCTTACGGTGGCCGCGTTTTTGTTATATTTTGACAACGGAAATAAAAGATATCGACGGAGTAGAGAAATTAGTTTCTATAAACGACGGCTTCTGCATAGATATCCAGTTGTCCTTAGGATGACCACCTTTTTCTTATATTCTATATATAAGTAAAAGGAGATATATAGTCAGGTTGACCAAGCAGATACACGTTGAGTAGAAACAGATTTCACTCCTAGAACTGTTTTGTAAAGTTGTATCTACCGAGCGACTAAGATATTGGCGTAACTGATACTAGTGATACTACGCTAGTCTAGTTAAACGCCAGATATTTTATATCTCCGATTCAACATTATAAAATGTTACTAAATGATTAAAGGTACTACTCCAGGCGACGTTCGTAGTGGATTTCGTCACCCTTCTGGCTGACCCGACGAACTTACGCCCGGTAGATCTTTTGTCAGCGGTATACTTTTCTTTCTGTAAGGTTTCTTTTACGTAGAATTAAAACGATAATCGCACTATTAAAGTAATCAAACTAGTAATTATTATTCAGATATTCCGGGGGAGAATTTAGACAAACAATAATAGGTTACAGGTATCACTTTATTACTTTTATATTCATTAGCGGGAAAATTCGCGTCTGTGTGTTATTGTCATATTTTTGGTATTCATTGGTAAACGTTTATTGTGGGAAAAAATTATAGGGTTTTTATATTGTGCTAAATTATGTTATTTAGAGAATCGATAGTGATGTTGTTGTCATAAATATTAATTGTTCTAAAGTCGGTCAATGCTCTCAAGCAATAAATTAAGTCATTTAGATTTATGGCCAAAGGGCCGAATTGTAAAGTTTCGGTTGTCTGTAAGCAGTACCTGTCCCTTTCAGTAAAGATAAAAAGCACTCTCGGTTTTACTCTTAAATGGCAAACAGATGTAGATTAGTAGGGTAAACGCCTTGATTTGTATGTATTTTAAAGTTAGTTTGCGGTTTAAAAAATATGTTTTCTGTCGTTCTTTGTAAAACAAAATTGGGTAGACAAATGTGTCATTTTAGCCGTACGGAATTCTAGTTTTGTGTATCGAATTTTCGGGAAAAAGGAGATACGTACAGCGGCGGGTAGAATCATGAATATTGAGGAGGGTCGTATTTATTTGTACATATCCACATATCTTTAGCGGGACATTACGCGGAAGTAGTCGGTATGTTTGTTATTTATTTAGAATAAATAGGTGAAATTGTGTTTGTGGACAAGCTAACGTATCCTCAGAACTGTGATTAATAACACTGATTTGTCAATCGACAGAGCAAAAGAGCATCGTGCCAAAAAAGACGCCTTAGGCCACCATAGGCCGCCAGGGACCTCGATAGTAAGGGCCTAAAAATGGTATTTCCCTTGCGGCTATGTAAATTAAAGCCTGATAGAGGCTTGGATGGATCTCTACTGAGATACCCCTAAAGTGGGCCTGACGGGCATCCCCCTTTATATCAGGTGTTCTCCGATCGACCGTTTAGTGTTGTTCATACAGGACTGAGTATGTCAGTAAATTACGGCGTTGGAATATTAGAGAAAGGCGTGGCGCACGGTGAGGTAAATCTACACTCCGGTTTTTACACATATTAGAAATATTAAATTTAACCGACTTCAAAAAGGAAGAGGTTCTCAATTCGACGCAATATTTTATATCTCACAACACTCCTCGTGCTACCGCTGTACTCTCTTTTATTAGACAATGCGTAATTCAGTAGTTCCGTGGAAACGTGTGATTGTATATTAGGGAATAAACAAATATACCAAAGTACTTCCGACTTTTATTTTACCCTTTTATGGGAACTAAAAGCTCTGAGGTTAGAAATGACACATTAGAAAGCCTACATAAACAGAATGTTAAGCCTAAAAATGGCACATAATATAAATGTTCGGCTGTACAAAAGAATAGATGTTAAATAAACATTATTCAAAATTAATCTCGGTGTTTCCTTTGTTCTTCCTCCATTACAGCTACATTGAACTCTAAACGAAATTCAGGGGGTTTTAACATCACTTCGTGGGGATCTACTAGACGAAATTTAAGCCAAGGTTATAAGTATTTGCAAAACTAGGTCAGGGTCCGGTTTGTCAAGTTACACTTAATGTCTTGTTAATGATTTTTTAAAATTTAAATTTAAAAAACGCCTCGATAAGTGCTATCTTCTGATGTAAACTAGTGTAAATCGTTGCAAGAAACGAATAATTACTGAGAGTGACGATACGATAGTTACAGGCGCATTACATCAGAAGATAGCACTTAACGATGTGTTTTAGTCACTAATTTTAGCGAATTTTAAAAAATCATTACCAAGACATTAAAGACTTAAATTTGGGGATTATATTAAGAATAGTGCTGTTGAGGAATGCATTTATTTTCATTATAATATTTCAAAATTTAAATCCTTTTGATTTTTTTTATTTTTTTTTTTTTTTTTTTCGAAAATTAGTAGGAATTAAAACTTTAAAATATATGCATATTCTAGATATTATTGCTTAATTTATTTTGCCAAAATTTTAAATTTTTAAAAAAATCACTTTTTGAAATATCGTTGTCCGAAAATTATAAGGGTGCTGTAATCACCTTAAGATATTTATTTATTGAACATTTCCTTATTATACATAATATAGCTTCAAGGCACAAGACATAAATTTCTTATAAACTTAACAGAACCATGACTGGTTGAGAATATATGAGGGGTGTCCGACATAGTATGCATTCGGGCTAGACAAATTAGTCTTATAATACGTGTCTATAGAAAACCATAATGTTTACATTATATTATTTTTTTTACAGGGAGAAATAACCGTAAAAAACCTACTCATGTCTTTCAATTTCAAGGAACTATTCAAAGTATTTACAAAAAAGCGTCCAAACTATGATAGAGCAATAATTTTTTTAATGACCGCTATGTTGACTTTATATATTTTTGGACAAAGTAGTGGCAACAAGACTTTTTTATTTTTGACGAGTAAATTTACTTGGACTTTAACAGAGTACACATGGTACACCAGTATAAGTAGCATCTTTTTTATGATTGGTGGTATATTTGGTACTCTTATAATACACAAATATTTGAAAACAACGGAATCGGTAGCTGTGCTCATGGGTTTTATGTCCGAAATGAACGGATTTTTAGTTAGAGGATTAGCCACCCGATCTAGAGATATTTATTTATGTAAGTTAAAATTTAAATAATACACATTTTAAATAAGGCACTTGTTTAGATAATTTGAATTTATTTACATAATTTAAAATTAATTCACATGAAAACTGAATTATCCCAAATATATTTTTCAATTCATATACACATACTTTGTAATCTATGTCTGCAGTTTATGTTATCAAATGTTATTATTTTTAGCTGCCGGAGTAAAGCTTTTAGGAGGAATCATAAGCCCACAATGTAGAACCTTAGTAGCCAGGCTGGTACCTACTGATGAGGTTGCCAAACTATTCTCCTTAATAACAGTTGTAGAATCTGTATGTGGTATAGCAGCATCTCCATTTTTTACATTAATTTATAATTCAACTGTGAATATAGATCCAGCAATTTATAATTTTGTTGTGGCTGGGCTGTGTGGTATTTGTGTGATTTTAGCTGTGTAAGTATTTTTTTATTGAAGTAATTATTCAAAAATAACTACAATTTACCCATTAAAATCAAATAATCTAAACTAATTGATCTCAAAACTTCTTACAAATAAAAATTGTAAACATATTCGGACGAAAAATTTCGGACTGTAGGTTTTACCAAAGATTACCAAAATGGGACAGTGTATTATCAAAAATACTACCATGACCTCGTTCTTTTAATTTGGCATATTTATGTTAAATTGTATAGGAGGCTCTTATCAAATAATAATACGATGTTTTAGTCACATGTGTACAGTACTACAAGATTGAGATGACAACTCAGAATTAGATGCGCACTGGCAAACATTTAAAAGAGATAAATTTGGCAACACTAGATAAGTGAACACAAATAGATCACTGAAACAATAACATCGAAGTTCGGCCATTAACTGAGATAACTCCTCCCATTTTTAACGGTATCAAAGGAAGTATTTCAAGGATGCTTTTAAAATAGTAATGAAAAACATGCATATATTATTTCCTAATCACCGTGTACCAAATTTATAAGATACTTTGGCAGGTTAATTTTCCAATTTAGAAAGCAACATGGAAAGTTTTCAATTATAGCTAAACATGAACATGTTCCGAGAAATAATTTTCGACAAGAGAAGACGAATCTTCAAGTGGTTCGAAATAATCCTTCTATTAGTATGAGAAAATTAGTAATGAATTAGCAGTACCGAAAACAAGAATTTGGAGATTTAAAAAAGGTAAGTTTGTATCCATTTCATGTACAAAAAGTACATAGACTTCAAGATGAAGGCAACATAACACAATTAAATTTTTGTTGATGGATTTTGACCAGAAGGGCAATATTAGGATTATATTTACAGATGAATCCCAGTTATGAATTGCCTTATTTGGACAGTTGAAAATCCTCATACAGTGATACAAAAACATTCCCATTATAGATTTTCCATAAATGTATGGTGTGGAATTTATAAAAAAATCACCTAATATAGGCCATCGTATTTTTGAAGGAATGTAAACTGCTGGAGTTTATTAAAAGATATTCTGCCAAATTTGTTAGAAAGGATTAATAACAGAGGGCGCGGTTTCAACATGCTGATGATGGACCACATTTAAATCGACATTTTCCTAATAGATGGGTCGAGGTGGTCCCGTTAACTGGCCACCGATATCTCCAGATATTACACCGTTGGATTATTTTTTTTGGGGCCACCTTCCTTTATTAGCCACTTATACGTCAATTTAATTCTCTTGTGTAGAGATTAAAAAATATATTTCATTTTTGAGTCATTCCATTTAAAATCGTCTAATTGGCAAAGCTGACCCATCTTGGATTTTGGTGTAACTTCGAGGAACTATTCCTTAGGGTCTCAAAAAAGAAAATTTACACGAGTTTGATTTTTATAAGCACTCGTTTCCGCCTATTTAAATAAAGACTTTTTAAAAAATCGATATTTTTAAGCCTTATCGACTTTTCCTCTGAAATTTTTCTTTTTGAAGATAACTAAATTATTAAAGCGGAATTCTGAGGGGGAAAGATAGTAGTTTAAGTGTAAGCATCGATAATTTGCTCAGTCAATACCTCTGATTAACGGCAGCGTGCTGAAAATGAGTGTTTTTTAATCATTTTCCGTGAATGATCAAAAAACACGCATTTTAAGCACGCTGCCGTTAATCAGAGATATTGGGTCCTATGATTGAACGTTTACGTTATCCATAACGTACATGTTAGGCTCAGTTTTAACAGTAATTAGGCAAGTTCGTATGATGAAAAACGGTTTCCAACACATTACTGTTATTTTCCGCCTGTTATGTTCTAATTTAACAGTTTTCCATCATACAAACTTGCTTAGTTACTGTTAAAATTTGACCTAACATGTACATTATGGATAACATAAACGTTCAATCATAGGACCCAATGACTGAGCAAATTATCGATGCTTACACTTAAACTACTATCTTTCCCCCTCAGAATTTTAATAATGTAGTTATCTTCAAAAAGAAAAATTTCAGAGGAAAAGTCGATAAGGCTTAAAAATATCGATTTTTTAAAGTCTATTTAAATACGTGGAGAGGAGTGCTTATAAAAATCAAACTCGTGTAAATTTTCTTCTTTGGGACCCTAAGGAATAGTTCCTCAAAACTACACCAAAATCAATGGATCTGCAACAATTTTTTTTATTTTCAGACGATTTTGTATGGAATGACTCTTTTATAAAATAAAAATCTTCAATATAGCGCATACAATAATTTGTATTTACTTATAAAATGAAATAGATAGATTGTGTGGTTATTTTACTATTATTCAGATTCAAAGGCAGTTTCTTTTATATTGTTTTCTACTAAGAATTTTTGACAAACTGTTTTTACGTGTCGATTCAAACACTAATATGCAGGATATTATTGGATTTGGTTAAATCAGCCGTAAACTGTGGATGCTAGACACATCTAATTACCATTTGTACTGCAATAAAAATAATGCTGCTCATAAAATTCAGGCAAAGTATTCTTAGAAGATGTTTCTAAGTTGTCATAAAACTTCAATGTTGTAAAAATAATAGTTGGGGCTAACATACCCATACGCTACTAACGAAGGATTATATCAGAGGTGTACAACGAGGAAATTAATACCCTGGGCAAAATTTTTAATTTACGCGTGACAACATTAGAAATAATCCAGGAATGATTAACAAATCAATAAAAAAAAACCTTTTAAAATATACTCAGTAGAGTATTGACGTGTAAGGTGCTCAATTTAACAATCTAATCTAGTAATTGTACCTACGTTTTTATTAATTAGTTCCGTTCGTATTTATTAAATAAAAAATTCTAAATAAAAATGTTTACAAATTTTCATTCTAAGGCGAACCTAGTACTGTACAAATAGAAGACAAAAAAGGAATAAGCGTCTGAAAATGTTGCATGTAATCTAAGTAGCTCTAATTGGACGCAATAACCATCTTTTACCAATTACTATGTCTGGACTAAGTGTTGGAAAAGTTTATAACCATAAAAATAGCTGAATATTTGTAGTTTTCAAAATTCTAATAAGATTTTCTACAAAATTTCATCAAAGCTATCAACAGTTTGCAAGAAATTGAGTTAAGGAACAAGGAAATCACTAATCAGGGAAAAATCAATCCATACCACTGGAAAACAAGGGATATATTAGTGACTTCCAAATGTATGTTGAATATAAAAAAAATGTTCTCTCGGCTGGCTCTGAGTGTTGAAATAAATCACCGTGAAAGGAAGTGTTCAATAGCTCCGCTCTTTGTTTAGGTACAGCTCAAGACGAAATCGATAAACCTACAACTGGTATATCTGTGGCAGACATATTCAGTTAGTCTTTATATTTCATTATGCAATGCTACAAGGTTCAACAACTTGTCAAAATGGTTAAAATTTATTTTCAAAATCAGTGCTCTATTTAGTACAGAATTCTACGAACGACACAATAATTAATATGAAGTCCTAACTTTGAGCATAAAAGAAAATCTTATAAAAAATACGTGTGGCATTCGGGGACTGCCACGGTAAAGCTATTGCATAGCATTTTTTATCAACTTAGGCAATTATAATTATTTATTTTATTTATGCAGTATTTTTTTTTCTTTGATATTAATTCAAGTTACTCTTTTTGAGCGTGGTGACCGATAAGAAAACAATTTTTTTTCTTTTACTGAGAAGTTAATATTGTTTAAAATATTTTTATTATCTTACAATACAATTAGGTTATTCAGGAATTTTTATCATTGAAACTTTAGTTTGAGACTTGATATCCTGTAAATATCTGGAAAATACCGCGTCAATGGTGGTCCCATATTTTGTTGTGGAATATTGTGGATCATTATTCATTTTCAAATTCAATTTTTCAGAAATCGTGTCTAATAGAGATATAATCAGTTAGCAGCTAGTCTACACGCATACGTCTAATCGCACGCACATAAACACCGTGCCGAAATCTGCCGAACTGAAACGACGTTAGAAGATGCACGGCTTTCAACGCCGCACCGCTGTGCCGGTCGGAGTGGGGGGTGTTAGGTTTATTTTAGTTACGGAATTTCTTTTTCGATATTTCGATTTTTCGTCATTTCGATTTTTGTTAGTGGGTCGTAGAAAAAATATACTGTACAACTCCAGTGGGCTCGAACTCACTCGTGGACGCGGCCAAAAGCACGCTGTCTCACCTAGCATTGGGTCTAAAAGAGATAGAATCAGTTATGAGCAGTTAGCAGCTAGTCTACACGCATACGTCTAGTCGCACGCACACAAATACCGTGCCGAAGTCTGCCGAACTGAAACGACGTTAGATAATGCAGACAATAGACAATGGTTTATTTTCGCGGAATTTCTTGATTCGATCGCCGTGCTCAAAGCCCGCGATAAAAGCTATGCAATAGCTTAAACATTAATATCTAATATTTACGCCAGCCGGGAACATTTGTGATACCAATTTATTAGAAGCCAGAGTTCTTGTATTGCATAAATGTTCCAGTCCGCAGACGTATATTTAACTCCGCTTCATACTAATACGAATAGGGTCGGATAAAACCTTCTATGGCTATAATGCCGTACCGCTGTGCCGGTCGGAGTGGGGGGTGTTAGGTTTTTTTCGTTACGGTGTTACAAAATTTCTTGATTCGGTTGCCACTCAAAGCTCGCGATAAAAGCTATGCAATAGCTTAAAAATATTTTTAAACAATATTAACTTCTCATTTATTCAATAAAAGAAAAAAAAATGTTTTCTTATCGGTCACCACGCTTAAAAAGTGTAACTTGAATTAATATCAAAGAAAAAACTTGAATTAATGTTAAACAATAAAAAAATTCTGCATAAATAAAATAAATAATTATAATTGCACGAGTTGATAAAAATTCTATGCAATAGCTTTACCCCGGCAGTCCCCACTATTTTTCATTGTTTATAGAATACGCCTTCTAGTTAGCTCAGACAAAACTGATTAAATAAATAAATTAATGTCTTATTATTTTCATT